CTGAGGAAGCACACAGAGCTCCTGTGTGCTGGATACAGTTGAAAGGCTGTGAGGAGAAGGGCTAATGTAGAATCTGCCTCTGTCCTGGCACATATTTCTGTGCAGGATATTGATGGAAGGTTTGGACTCTGTGAGACTGAGACTGGGTGTGTACTGAGTGATGTCTGTCTAAAGAAGGAAATAGCCCATGGTGTCTGCAACATAGGGCAGCAAGAGGACGGTGAATACCAGTTGTTTTTTCAGTATCTTTTGTATGGGAGCTGCTGTATGTTGTAACCCTTTGAAGGACAGCAAATGCCCTGGAGCTGTGCATTTTCCTGCTCAGCTGCAGGGACTGAGAGAGTTCTCTTTGTCTTGCTGAGCTTGGCTTCAAAACTTCCAAGGTCCAGCAACTGCTGAGATTCTGAAGGTGTTAGAACAAAAAAGTGAGCGGTGGCTTTCACTTTCCATTTGCACCTTATGAGCAGCAGCACCAACAGGTCTGGGCACTCTCCTGCTCTGTTCTGTGCACCTTTTTCAGCCTTGTAGACACCTGTTCCAGCCAAGGCTGCACATCACCTTTCTTTTGCAGCCTGTGGATTGCACCGCCAACCATTAGACGAGTGAGTTACCACCTCTGTGCAGCATCAGTCCCGCAGAGCCAGGCTCCCAAGCGACCCCCTACCCTCACTGCTCCCGCACTGACGGTGCCAGGACAAGGAGCTCGGTCACCAGATGGCAGTGCGTCCTTCTGAAAGTAGTAAACGTCCCCCGACTCTCTAAACAAAGCAAAGTGCAGCTCCAAAGTTGAAAACGTCTCGCAGCTCCTCTCAGCGACAGCCGAGCTTCCCCTTACATTTGCAAACTTGCATCCGCGCTGCAATTAACGGCAAAGCCCTTCCCTCCCAGCCTGGATACTGCACAGAGACCACGGGGATCTGCACTTTCCTTCTTTACTATACACTCCATCCTTTCCTTTCAGTCTCGTGGAGCAGAAACCACTCACACAGGCATTGGTGCCCAGACAGAAATGGTTTCTGCATCACCCTTTCTCCCCACTGCCCATCAGCTTCACACCAACATAGCTACAGTTTTCCTGAGACTCTGCTCAGACAGCAGGATTGTCCCTGCTGCTGGGATTTTCACAGAATACTCAGTTGGAAGAAACCCCTGAAGCACAGAATCATAGAATTTTAGGGGTTGGAATGGACCTTACAGATCATCTAGCCCCTGCCATGGTGTGCTGGTTTGGGCTGAAGTAGAGTTAACTTTCTTCCCAGTGGCTAGTATGGGGCTGTGCTCTGGATTTGTGCAGAGCACAGGGTTGATAACATAGAGATGCTTTTGTTATTGCTCAGCAGCACTTACACAGCCTTTTCTGCTGTTTTCTTCAGGATCACTGGGGCACAGACACCCCCACAGCCCCAGGCAGGGACACAGCCCTGGAATCACTGACCCCTGGGTTGGACACTTCCAGGGATGAGGGATCCTCTAGGAATCCATCCCAGGGCCTCTCACCCTCACAGGGAGAAATTCCTTCCCTAATCCCCCTCTGGATTCATTCCCAGCAGCTCCTGTGCTGGGAGCCCAAGCTAAGGGCAGCAGTGCAGGTGAGGTCTCACCTGAGCCATGCAGAGGGACAATCCCTTTCTGCTGCTCCCATGGATGAGCCCAGGACACAGAGGGATTTGGTAGGAATCCATCCCAGGGCCTCTCACCCTCACAGGGAGAAATTCCTTCCCTAATCCCCCTCTGGATTCATTCCCAGCAGCTCCTGTGCTGGGAGCCCAAGCTAAGGGCAGCAGTGCAGGTGAGGTCTCACCTGAGCCATGCAGAGGGACAATCCCTTTCTGCTGCTCCCATGGATGAGCCCAGGACACAGAGGGATTTGGGGAGCACCAGCTCAGCTCACCCTTCCCCACTGGGCTGGTTTGGGGCTCCCTGGGCTGATCCACACTCACCACTTTAGCCTCTGCAGCATCAGTGGAGACTCTGAGAATAACATCCTGACAGCCAAGAGCTGCTCGGGGGGGGCTGAGCTCTGTCCTGCACCTGCACAGACAGGGGAGGCAGCTGGGCACACACCCACACTCAGTTTCCTTCCCTGCGCAGCCAGCCCAGCCCCGGCAGCCCCTGCCCCCCGCG